GCAGTGGGTTTGGTTGTTTGGTTTTAGGCAAGGTTTCACTTCCTGAGCCATCTTGGCCTCTGCAGGGTGAGGGAGGGGCTGAGCCTAGCTAGCCCTGGGGAGTCATCTATACTATTCAGATGACTCTAAACAGGCTCTGAGTGTGTGAGGAATGGGCCTTTTCTGGAAAGGCTCCCTTCTCCATGGTATGAGCAAGATGGGGTGCTGCCTTCCTTTCCAGTTGCAGACCTAGGAGCCAGGAGACCAAAGCTAGGCAGACCCTTGTTTATAGGGTAGAGGGGTCAGCACAGACTCTTGTCATCTCCTTGGTGCTGCTTCTCCAGGTTTAAGAGTAGCTCTGATTTAAAGGACCAGACCCAAGCTCCTTCCCTGAGCCTGTGTTTGGAGAAGCTGATCAGATTTCATGGGCACCATGGAGGGGAGAATGTGCTGTTAGCAAGGCGTCATCCTCATCAGCTTGTGATCGTACCTACAACTTTATAGTTACAAAAGCAAGTCACTTTAGATGCTCATATTTCACCCCATCGAAGACAGCAATGCCAGGTGTACATCCAGCCATTTGCTAGACAAAGAAACTGGAAAGCAGAGAACTTAGTGACTTAAACACAAAGGAGAATTCAGACGGTAACATAAAAGTTAGAGTAGAACAAACTTCAGTTCACAAAAGGAAAAGGTTTTGATGCTTTCAACTGTCCAGGAGAACCACAGCCTGCTTTGTTAAGTAGGGAGTGCCCGCCCTGTCCCTGTGAGTATGTAAGTCGTGTCTGGTTATCTGCTTGCTGGGGATATTATGGTGGGTGTTGACACATTAGACAGAGGCTGATGGCCCTTCCCATTCTAAGTGGAAAGGCTGGTATAGAAGAGGTAAGGCTTACCTGCGCTTCTCATTCCATGCGTTGTACCATTTGATGAACCGCTTGGTGCTCTGCAGTTTGGGGTGCAGGCAGTGCTCCTGACCCCGGTACCTGGACACACTCTTAGTGGTGATGCTGAAACAGAACAGGGTGCATTGGAAGGTTGGGGAGCTTGAAGAACAGCACCTTGTGTGACCTGAGGGTGGTTTGTAGTCTGTCTGAATCAAGGCACTGAGAAATGGGGCCTTGTGTCTCTTCTCCAGGGCATCTTCCTAGGCACGTGATTCCTTCCTGGCTGGCTCTTTGAAAGGTTCTGGGCATAACTTTAACCTGTGTTCCGGGGAGCCCTCAGAATCTGAGAAAGGTCCCTTACACATTCTCTGTGCTATCTGCCACAGAGTGGTGGTGGTTGTTAAGTGCCGTCAAGTTGGTTCTGACTCATAGAGATCCTATTAGGGTTTCTGAGGAGCTGCTGGTGAGTTTGAACCACTGACCGTATGGTTCATACCGACCTTATGGTTCAGTGCTTATCCTACAGAACCATACCAGGACTTCCCACAGTGTTGTTGTTGTTAAGTGCCATTAAGTCAGTTTCTACTCATTTTGACCCTGTATAGGGTTTATGATCAAAGAGAACAGCCTTCGGTATGGATTATATCTCAATGTAAAGAAAAAAAATTCTCACCATTGGACCAATAAACAACATTCTTATCAAAAGAGAAAAGATTGAAGTTGTCAAGGACTTCATTCTTCTTGGATGAACTATCAACACTCACGGAAGCAGCAGTCAGGAAATCAAACAATGTATTGCGTTAGGCAAATCTGCTGCACAAGAACTTTTTTTTAAATATTGAAGAGCAAAGATATCAGCTTGAGGACTAAGGTGTACCTGACCCAAGCCATGGTATTTTTAATAATCTCATATGCATGCGAAAGCTGGACAGTGAATAAGGAAGACCGTAGAAGAATTGACTCATTTGAGTTTTGGTGTTGGAGGAGAATATTGAAAGTGTCATGGGCTGCCAAAAGAACCAGTAGACCCATTTTGGAAGAAGTGTAGTCAGAGTGCTCCTTGGAGGCCAAAATGGCCAAACTTCATCTCTCATACTTCATACATATTATCAGGAGGGACCAAGTCACTGGAGAAGGATATCATGCTTGGTAAGGTGGAGGGTCAGAGAAAAAGAGGAAGATCCCCAATGAGATGAATTGGCCAAGCGGCAGCATTGATGGACTCAAGCGTGGCAACAGTGAGGTTGGCCCAGGATCAGGCAGTGTTTTGTTTTGCTGTGCATAAGGTCACTATGGGTTGGTACCAACTCAATGGCACCTAACAACAACAACAAGGGTTTATGAGGAGCAGCCAGAAAGCTTGTATTTTGTGGTTCAAACTGCACATTAACCCACAGCATGGTTGTTGTTGTTAAGTGCTGTCAAGTTGGTTCTGACCCATAGTGACCCTGTATAGAGTTTCCAAGCATCATGGTAGAGCCTCTCAAATCCAAGGAAAGAGGTCTTGACAAACACAGTCATAGCCACCCAATTCTGGCTCTGTCTAGATGGCCTGAAAGAGCCCCTGAACTAGACTCCCTGAGGGAGGCATGAGCCCTGTAGATAGACTACACAGAAAATGGGTGAGACTCTGGAGTCCTGGTGTGGTACTGTAGGATAAGCACTGGAGTGGTAACTGAAAGGTCAACAGTTTAAACCCAATACCTGCTCCTGGGAAACTATACAAATGGCTATGAGTCGGAATTGACTCAACAGCACTTAACAATCACCTAGGAGCCCTGTCATCACTGTGAGATAGGTGTTGGGCTGCCTACCACAAGGTTGGCAGTTCAAACTCACCAATCACTCCAAGGGAAAACAATGAGGCTATTGGTTCTCCCATAAAGATTTTTAAAGTCTCAGAAACCCAATAAAGGGTTACTATGAGTCAGGGCAGACTCGATGGCAGTGGGTTTGGTTTGGGTGTTTTTGACTAAAGGGCTAAGACATGCCTTAGCATTAGGACCTCTGAGCCCTAAACCCTATTTCCCTGCTGCCCTCTGCAGAGTATCCCAGGACTGGGCACCATTACCCTGAATCGAAAGAATGTTAGCTTTGAAGCTCATTTTTATTACTGAGCATGAAGTTTCAGTATTTCTCTTGGGCAAAACCGAAGACTGTCCTTCTTTCTCCACAACACCTGAAGATCTGATTCCCAGGGGAGGCCAAGCCATGTCGTAGAGAAACAGAGTGGCATTGTGCAGCGGCCTGGATTTGAATTCTGGTCACATCACTTATTGGCTATGGGACCTTGAACAGCCTCTCCGAACCCAGTTTACATATCTGGAAAATGGTATAACAGTTGCACCTGCATCATAGAGCAAAGTGCCTAGCACCTGGTGGACACATGATGACTAGTTACTGTCATTAGTCATTAGTTATAGAGGATGGGATGGCCAAGGTGGTCTCCTGCCTGGAGGGGGAGGTAAGACTCCTGTCAGACTGAGGTCTCCTTCTTCACTGCAGCTGGGCCTCACAGTGCTGACCACAGGACTGGCAGGAGTTATGAGGAAGCCCCTGGGTGGGGAGGTCACGTGGTATTCATGGATGAGGGGCCACCTGGAGGACTTGGAGAAGCAGAGATAAGAGGTGCGGGTGCCCCATGAGAACAACAGTGTAGTGATGAGCTGGGAACAGGTGTGAATAGCTCTGGCAGAGGGTGTGGTGGGGGGGGGGTGGCTGGAAGTTGGGTGGAAAAGAGCAGGCCAAAGAGAAGACAGACCTGCCAGCTAGTTCTCCAAGGATAACTGAAAGTAAAGGCTCAGTACTCATGGACCTAATTCTAGAAGGGGTTGAGTTGCCATGAATTCTGCACATTGGATCTTCGGAGAAAATTGTATCTTGCCACCAGAATCCATGTCTGTTCCTGTAAAAATTCAGTCTCAGAAATTCTAAGGGGCAGTTCTACTGTGCTCTATCTGTTTGCAAGGTGTTGGAATCAACTCAATGGCAGTGAGTTTGGTTCAGGGTTTTGGCTACAAGAATGGGATACATGGATTTTGGTCAAACTGTTCTCGCCCCTTCAGCTGTGCTCTGAGTCTCCAGGACACCAACTTTCCAGGGCAGGTGATGGGCTTTCTGTTAATGCCCAGTGGTTGGGCCCTGTCTTTGATTTCCCTCTTCATGAAACATACCTTTTTATCTGCCTCCACAGCAGTATCCTGGGTTTGGGGGTCTCTAAGTTTTGAGGACTGTTATCTAGATGTACCTAGTCACCCTGCAGGAATTTAACAAAGGCATTTCTTTCTCTGTCTACAATGCTGCTTTTCCACTCAGAGTGAAAGGGCATGGTAAAGTCTAATAAAAATCCCCTGTTCTGTTAGTTCTGGGTATAGACTGTGGATCACAGATCCTGAAGGTCAGAGAGAGCCAGGAGTGGATGCCTCAGCCCTCCCACAATAGTGTTTCACTGCCAAGGCACAATAGTGGAACTATGCATATTGGTTGTTGGGGTGGATTCATGTTCCACCAATTACACAGAAATTCTGGGTCCCACTTCCCTCTCCTCAGCAGTTTTGGTAAGTGCTCAGCTGACATACGACATACTTTGCTTCTTCTAGCATCTGGACTCTCCTGGACCCTTCTGGGTATAAGGACTACAATTTACAAAGCAGATCCCCTCTGACCTCTGCGAAGACTTCTGGGTAACTCAGGGTGAGCTGGAAAACGTGTTTTTGTTCAGTGTTTGTGACTGAAAACCTGCTTGGGCAGAAAGTGCTGGTCCCTTATCTGATTTAGAATGTCTTAGGCTAGAAGAGAAGCTTCCAGGCCTTCAGAAATGGAGTGAAGGTAGGGGCTGTCATGGGCTGGGTGGACTTTACAGGGGCTGACTGTGAGCTGCCCTCATTAAGCCCCTGCAAGTGTTCACAGGTTTGTGCAGGTAGCTACATAAAGTCTTTCCCATGCACTGTCCTGCTGTCACCTTCCTGTGTATTCTGGAAAGTTCAGTGAGGAGGAATAGCAAACCTGCTCACCTAGGACTCAGTCCTTTTGAGGTGTCCCTGGACCCCATGCTCCACTTCCCCTGCCCTGCCCTTGCAACCTCAGAATCTGAGCTTGGTATATGGAGTGTTTTACACTACTTTCAAGAGTGCAAATGTACCTCTATCATTTTTAGCTCTCATGTTAGAAGCATGGAAGGGCTTGTAGTCTCCCTTTCTACCCTCCCAGCTAGTTTGATCCCTGGCACCCATCAAAAATGCTTTTTGGGCAGTTTTTATGAAGTTATTCTATAAAGTAAGGGACAGGGAAAAGGAACAAGGACAAGGAGGCAGATTTAGGTGCCTGGATGGAAGGCAGTAGATTGCAACTTGGGCCCAGTGACTTCCTGAGTTGCCCCAACAGTGTGGATCCCAGGCCCAGTCTTCGCTGACACTGTGTGGAGGCCTCTCGGCCGGCAGGGCCAGCAGGCGGAAGGGACTTGCCCAGACTGAGAATAAAGTGTGTCCTGATTCTGGGGGAAGGGAAGAGGGGCCAATGGTCCGTGGCAGCAGATATTTGGTAGCTGCTTTGCCAAGGGCTCCCTCCCTGGCCAAGAGCGTATTGATGGGGAAACAGTGCGCTGGCCTCAAGTGGTTAATTGGGAGGGCAGAGGAGCAAGGAAAGGCAGTGTTCTCTGCCTCTGCCCCAGTTTTAAAAATATTCCCCACATCCTCACCAAGTAGGGCTCCAGTGCCCTCAAACATTAACCCCAGCAGGGCAGTTTCCACAAGACCTTTCAGGCGAGGGATGCACAATAATTGTTCTCAAAATGAATTCAGTAGATGCCAACAACAGGCTGTCTCAGGGTGGTCCCCTGAGTGGGAAAAGGACTTTGAGAGGAGAATCTGGGAGTTTCATATGGCGCTTGCTTTTCATTCACTCTCCAGTGAGAGGGGATGCTGGCCTCACAGTTTGGGTGCCAGTTGAGTAATCTGGGACCTATTTTGAGTGTTTTTAATCTAGGTGGCCTAAATTGGCACATAGGCACCATTGAACCCTTGTTCTCCCTTAGAGGGGTGGACCGGCAGGCTGTTACCCACAGGTGGAATCTCTGGCAAGGCTGTTTTCGGAGCACAGGAGAGTGAGCCCTTTTCTAGATTGTCTTCCATATTGTTCCCCAGCATCCTAAGGACTCACTGGGCAATAGCAAAGGCTTTGCAAAGGGTTTTGATAAAGGTGAAGAGGAATGCTGGTTAGCTGGAACCAATTACAGACTGTGTGCCCCAGCACCTGGCTAAGAGAAGTGAAGCCACAAACGCTCACAGGTGAGCAGCGAGAACTCACATAACCATCTTCTCCTCGCAGTGCGGGTACTTTGGCTTCATTTCCAGCTTCTTCACGTCGCTGTAGCGGATCTTGGGTCCCTTCCGGGAGCACTTGCATTTGGACCCTGCAGTAGAGAGCGCCAGCGGCCACTCAGTCGCAAGCACGGTGTCCTGCCCTCCATGCCCACCCAAACCCCCGTGAACCCAGGATACCTAGCAACTGGTGCCTGGGTTCCCCAGGACGGGACGGGATGGCGACAAGAGGACCTGTGGGTACTCACCGTCCACGCGCGCGGCGCACAGCGCCAGGATCAGCAGGAGCAGCGCGGCCGTCAGGAGCCTCATGCTGGCCGGAGGGGCGCGGCGTGGGAGCAGGGACGCGGGGAGGGCGCCGGTCAGTCCGTGCGGCAGCCCGGAGACGCCGCCCGGATCGGCTCGCTGTGTCCGGAGTGCGCCTCCCGACCCCGCTCGTGTCCTGCGCCCGTCGGTGGGTACCTCTGGGTTGTGGCTGCGCGCTGCGCTCTGCGCTTTGCGCTCTACTCTGCACTTGGCTCCGCGCTCTCTCCACAGCCTCCCTCCGCCCGTTCTGGCCTCTTTTAAATCTGCTCCTGCTCTCGTAGCGAGCGAGCTCATTAATATGCAGAACCACTCGGTGACTCACAGAGATTTCTCAACGTGGTGGGGGGAGGAGACCTTCCCAGCCCGCCTGTTCGCCCCAGGACCGCGAGCAGAGCAGCGCACACTGGGAGCAAGGAGAGTACACGCACCCCCACACTCACATCCGCTACCCTCTAGCTCACACAACTCTCATACCTGACGCCTGGGTAGCCCTTGTTGGGCCAGCAGTCTCAATAGCTAGGTCTGGGAGGAGGTGGTTGTTGTAGATTGGACAGCAGGAAACCATTGGTCACTGGAACAGACTCACAGTGTATGCTGGAGGTTTGGCCACTGTCAGTGGAAGGCCCTCTAAATCGGATATGTGGTCTGGGTGGACTGTGTGGGAAGAATCTGGCTTGAACACCATTCTTTAAAGCCAGGCAGAAGTTCCTTGGAGAGACATGACAATGTTGGCCATATGAATGAAGCCCTCCTTTGTGCCAGGCTAAAGATATTGTGAGTAGTTGTAGACACGTTTATTAGGACAAAAATTCTCATCCCATCACTATTGGTGGAGGACTTTGGGCGCATGACTTCACCATTCTACGCCTTTGTTTCATCATCTGTAAAATGGGATAGTTGCAGGGCCTGCCATAGGGCAGCTGTGAGGGAGGATTATATAAGGTCATACATATAATGTATGAATCAGAGGGCCTGATTCATAGCTGGCACCCAGGAAATGTTACTTCCTGACATCATTATTATATGAGCGATTCTTACAACTCCCCTTTCTGGTTGACATTTTTTAATGCCTTTATTTGACGAATGTGGAAACAAATTCAGAGAGAAGAAATAACTTGCCTAAGACCACACAGCCAGGAAGTAGGTAACAAGCACAGGAGCAGCTCTGGTATTTGACTACAGATTTGGGATCCTGTCCTTGGACCAGTTTGTCACTCTCAGATTTGTTGGCCCATCAGATCTTGATGAGGTGCATCTTTGAGAGACCCAGCGACAGGTAACAGAGAATCTCAGTCAGCATAGCGCTCTTCTGCTAGGCTCTGAGGCCAGAACTGAAGTGAGCTATTGTTGCTCACAAAGCACTGTCCTCTCAACTGGGCAGCTCTTTGAAGGAACAGGTTCCCAGAGGGCTCCTTAGGGAATGGGGGTGGGTGGGAGGGGGTGCTGGTTCCCAGAGGACTTCCTTAGGGGTCAGGGATGGGGATACCGACTGCTTAAGGGTACAGTGGGAGGAATCAGTGCTGTCTCAAAAGCCTTTGCTGCCCTGAGGGGAGACTGAGCCATTTCCCCATCAAGTGTACATAGCACCTGTGAGCTAACTTGTGGGCTACATGTTGTTGTTATTGTAAAATGCCATTGAGTCTATTCTGACCCATAGTGACTGTGCATAGGATTTCCAAGGAGCAGCTGATGAGCTTGAACTGCCAACCTTGCACTTCAAATGGCTTTGCAGTCTGGCACATTAACCCACAGCACCACATAGCCCATATTTAAAGCAAGGCTGATTGCTGGACATAGGGTTTATGTAGAAGATGAACATGAGGATGTGTTTTCTGATTTATGTTAATTTTTTGTGATTTTCCCTCCTTAATTATAAAAGAACACATACTGATTACAGAAAACACAAACAACAACATGTCATTCTGCTCAAAGACCTACACTAAGATGCTAATGATATTATCTTTTCCAAACCTTCTCTTTGCCTAGCATGCAATGCACACATGGAACCAGGCTGCATGAACTATTTAAGAACCTGCTCTCTTCAACTGTGAAATGGGGATGGCATTAGGACCTACAGCACAAGGTTATTCAGAGAATTAAATAAGATGGTGCATGCAAAGCTTTTTATGTGGTCTCTCAGAGTAAGAGTTCAATAAATGCTAACTGGTGCTGTCCTTAAGGACTGAGAGATGTTAGAGGTTTGCAAACGACCAACCAAAAAACTTGGTGGTTGCAACCCATCCAGCTACTTTGCTGAAGAAACAGCTGCCAATCTGCTTTCATAAAGATTATAGCCAAGAAAACCCTTTGGAGCAGTTCTACTCTGTAACACATGGGGTCGCCATGATCAGGGCCTGATTCAAAGGTAGCTGACAACAACTTTTGTTTTATTATTATTTAGGATGCAGAGTATTCCACTGTGTGACTGTTATTTATATAACATAATGCAATTAATCTAACTAATTACTTTCTGATTAACATTTAAATTGTTTTCAACCATATACCCTTGCAAGCAGTACTGTGTGATGAATATTCTTGTAGCTAAATTCTGGGAGTAGCCTTTAAATAATTTCTGTTAGTCTCAGAAATGAAATCATTGAGGTAGGGGCATGCCCAATTTAAAGCTTTTAATGCAAATTGCCAAATTGTCCTTCAAAAAGAAGAACAGACTTTCTTCCACAAAAAGGAATATCTATCTTAAATAGCAAGCTTTTAAGATGCAATTTTTTCTGAACAAAATTTGATTCCTAATCTATTTGTTGATGCTTATTAATTAAGTAGGATCTAGCAGCATCAGGAATCATGGGCACTGAACTTTTATAGGAAAATGTAATTGTCCCTAAATATGGACCACAGCTTTCTAACTTCCTGGGCCAGGCCCAATGCCAGACATTCTGTTTTGTGTCGCCAGTTATATTCTTTAGTCTGTGTATGCTGGTCTTTGCAGATAAAGCTGACCCCTGTTTGTGCCAGCTGTCCTAGGCCATGAGTACAGGAGAAGATGAGTGATCCTGTTTAACCAGGGCACGGAGGGAGGGTGCTTGGGCCCTGGCATACCTTCAGGGCACGGACTCTGCTGAACTGGAGCTGGGGGTCTTTAAGTAAGAGGGAGGCAGGGTACAGTGCACAGTGGCACTGCCCACCTGGAGGAGATCCCCTGGGATACAGTGATGGGGAGCACACAGACCCTGCCCTCTTGTGCCACAGTCTGGGATGTGTGTGTGTGTAGGTGCCTACATTCACTTAGAGTTATTCTGTGTGCTACGGGGGGAGTGGGGGAAGATACCAGATGTGGGGGCACAGGGGAGAGTGGAGCAGGGAGCAGGAAACCAATGAGGGAGTGGAAGTTTGGCTTGATTACTCAGTTCCCATTATTGAGCATCCGCTGTGGGACAAGATCTGGGATATTAAGTGAGCAGACGTGGGCTTATCTCCAAAGAGCTCAGAGTCCAGTAGGAAAGATTGACAAGAATCAGATAACTGTGAAGAAAAATATGGACTTGCCGCTGAGGTAGCAGTGGTGAAGAGAAGCTGGTACTATGAAAGTGATCACGGGACCTGTCCGGTACAGAGGGTGGGGACTGGCTCCCAGAGGAAGTGACTGTGGGGTTGGAATCTGAAGGAGGATGATGGAGGACAATGGAAGCGAGATGAGGGAGGTAGCTCCCTGCTCACACTCCTACCCCTGGTCCTTTATCATACAATGGTTTCCTCAGGGCATAACACTCCTGCTCAAATCCCCCAATGGCTCTGTTCTCCCCTCAAAATCAAGGTCCTCAGACTCAGCATTCCTCCATGTCCTCCATGATCTGATGCCCCTCTTGAGATGTAGCTACCGTACTTCCCTCTCCTTGTTTCAGTCCATAGGATTTCATGGATGGATTTTTCAGAAGATTGCCAGGACTTTCTACTGAGGGTGGACTTGAACTTTCAACTTTCCACTTAACAGCCAGGAACAGTAATCAGTTGTACCAACCAGGGACTCCCCAGCCCCACTGTTTTGGTCTAACCCCTCAGACATGCCAAACCTGTTCGTTTCCCAGGATCTGTGTCCTCGCCAATTCCTCTGCCCAAACTGCTGCACCCCAGAGTTGGCAGACAGTCTCTTCCTCCTTACTGATGCCTCAGCTCAAATAATCACCCTCTAGACCCTGGCAGTCACTCTCGGTACCACTCTATGCCGCTGACCTATTTTGCTTTCATCACTGGGTGTTCAACAACTTCAAACCATACTATGTGCATGTTTATTTGAGTCAGCCTCTGGTTTATTAGTTCTATGAAGGTAGGGCACATGTCTGGCCTGCATGCATTGTGTCTACAATGATGCTTGGAACAGAATAGGGGTTCCTTACATGTTTTGGCAAAAGCCCAGTGAGGTGAGACAGCATTGCTGAATTTGGGCTGTGAAGACTACAAGGTTGTGTGTATGAGAGAGTGTGTATGTACGTGGTGGGTGGATGGGTGGCAATTGGCGAGGCCAGGTTCTCAGGAATGCCAGTTCCTCCTCAGGGCATTTGCTTTAGAAGAGGAGCTCGCTGGGAGGAGAAGGTGGTGACTTACCAGGAAAGTGACTTTCCAGGAAACCCTACAAGTATCTTGAAACTATCTACTTGGTCTGCTTGGAAGATAGGTCTTGATTGAGCCAGGCTGTTCTTTGGGGAGTGGGAGACACATCGATTCCTTTTGCCACCACTCAGTTCTTCTATGACTGACCTGTGGCCCACCAGGCTTAGAACCCAGAGCTGGACTGAGGCCCCAACTAGACTACCCCTTGTTGTGTACAAATGTGGATACTAAGGTACAGAAATGGGGTGGGGCACAGCCACCCAGTGTGCTAATGCCAGTGCCTGAGTAGACGCTTGGCCTCCTGTCTCTATCCTGCTCTCACAGACCAGAGAAAGACCCCAGCTAAGTGACCTATTTGCCCCTTTCACCACTCATTACATGGTGAGTCACCCTAGAATATTGCCTTTCATTGGGGTGCGTGGCTGCTAGTCCTGAGTCCATGCCCAGTGTGCATTCCTCACTCTCCAGTCCTTTTCCCATCGTGAGTCTTGCGTGTCACCCTTTCTGTCTTCTCTTTGCTGGTGTTTCTTTAGCCCCAGGTCCTGAATCATTATAGGAGTAACAGACAGCCTTATCTTTCTCCCTCAGAGAGGCTGAGGGTTTTGAACTGACCTTGTGG